CTCCCGCCCTGTGCCCCCCCCCCCCCCCATCCAGTTCCCCCCACCCCCGATCTCCCCCAGCTCTGCTTCCCGCCCCCCCTTCCTCCTGGCCAGCCCTGCCCCCACTCCCGTCCCCCCCGCCCACGATCAAGTGTGTCCAGTATTTTGGGGGGTCTACCTGGTAACCCTATTCATAGTAACAATGCCTGCTGCTGTCCTGAACTTTCCCTGCTATACAGATTAGAGTTCTGATGGTGAAAGAGTAAAAAACTGACAGCATCTCACATCAATGGAGCAGCCAAGCAATGACCCAGATTGCAGGGCCTTCCGAATGATCTGATATAGATTGGGTGGTGCCTTCCTCAGATCATACGACTCAGCGATCCCTCCAGTGAAATCTTCAAAGCCTTCTACAGTGGAACCTCCTGCAAGAGCTTCATATGAGCCATTCAATCTATGGGAAGAAAATAAAAGAATAGAGATGCAATAAGGAGCATCCAGCCAGTTCTGCACATGTCACATTTGCATTACAGACATGACATAGTGTAGAATGCAATCTCTGTTACTGTACATGTAGATGTTACTTTTTAAACTAGTAGGTATAACATTTTACGGAGGCTGGTAGTGCTCCTTGAAGTGTTTGTGGGAGGAAAGAATAGTCCTGGAGAGAGGAAAGAGGAGGAATAAGAGACTGACATGAGGGCAGAATGCATTTGGGTCTGGCACTGGCAGAGGTTGAGACACTCATGTTACTTGCACTTATTATGACTTCCCTAAGAATTAGCCCCACTTACTTAGCATAGGCCTTCTCCAGCAGGGCACTCCAGAACTCATTGCCTTCCTCTGAGTGTAGAAAGAGCAGCTGCCCGTTTTTAGTGGGCAGCCTGTCGTCAACAACAACATCCACCCACTCCCCAAACTGCCAGAACTAAGGAAAGAAAAAGAGAGAGGGTGGTTAGAGCTGTGTGCCCACCTGCTAAAATCTGCCTGCTACTCTGCTTCACCCTGCCCCGTGTTTGTTGGAACAGTCTCCCACTTCTTGTCCATTCATCTCTTCTCCGCCTTCACATCCATCATAAAAACCATTTTTAGGAATCCTTCCTACACAGGTCTCCTTCCCACTGATTTCTCCTCAGTCTCCCTCATCTGAACTGTTGTCTGCATGTTGTTGTATCCATTTTACACTGAACATCATTTGGGACAGAGGCCAGTGTTTTTCTATGCTCTATCTTTCTATGTCCTGTGAGGTTTTGGTACATATATGAGCATGATGTGAAGGTTTATTAATAAATAATATTAATGTAGCCTTGGAAGGAACATCTCATAGTGGGTCTATAGAGTATTTTTGGTGTCCCCTGACAGCTGAGATGCATTAACACCTACATTTTCTAAAGTATTTTTAGGTACCCAACCTGAGGCACCCTAAAAGGCCTCATTTTCAGAAAGTTTTGTACCCACCCACAGAAAAAATCAAGCCCCCTTAAAAAGTGCTTCAAGTTGGGGCACCTAAAACCACTAGTCACTTTTGAAAATGTAGGCTTGCATACTGAGCTAACATTAATGCTCTGTGTCAGCAATTGCTATAATTGCTACCAGGATGTTATGTGGTCACAAACGAGATGGGAGGTGGACTACTGACAAAGAATGGGACTCAGGGAGGCAGGCAAACCCACAAGACAATCTTTCTGTTGAGATAAGATTTGGTCTTTGCTTTGAAAAAATTGGACCAGCACCTGATCTAGAATATTTTTCTCTACAACACAGTAGTCTCCTCTATTCTGTCCCTCCCTGTCTATCTCACTTGCACACCTTAATTGCTGAATATCTAATTTTCCATCAGAAATGAGACAAGCTACATTTCCCTAGATACTGGATCTTTCTTTTGTTCCTGACATCTTGGTCATGTTTAGTGGATTAGCAACAATTACCTGGAAATGAAAGATCCCAGCATAGTTCTTCTGGAAGCTCTGATCTTCAGGAACAATTCGCTGTAGGATTTCCTGATCTAAGGTAAGAGATGCAATGGCTGCTAGGAGCCAGCAGTCACCTGGGAATATATAAGTTTCAAAACAGAAATGTGAATCAATAAAACAGGGACTTGCAGTTTTCTCATTTCACCCTACAAAACTACTTGAAATACCTTTGAATAAAATGTCAAAGTAGTGCCCTGTAGGATTATACTGGAAGTCTACTTGCTGGTTAGTTTTGTTTGTTTGAAAATAGATCTATTTTGCTTATTTTTTCAGGGGGATGGTTGGATAGATTTTAGCTTTTATATTTAAATCTTGATTTAAATTCTGCCAAAGTTTCCAGCTTGATTATGGGGGTGAATTTGATGTTCCAGTTTGAGGCCATTTCTAAGTTTTATTTGCATTTGTGTAGAGACCATGTATTTACATGCTTTTTAATGCCTTTGGGGAGCAATTTATATGATAGAAGCAATGAAAGATCTGGGTTTCCCACAGCATTTTAATTTCTGGAGGATGGGAATACCATGAAAAAACAGACTTTGTATTCTTTCATGATGGCCCATATGGCCCCTTGAGACATTAGAAAAAGACCAGGGAAATAAATACTACTGTACTTCAGAGATATGGGGTTCAACCCAGCCTTATTTTTTTTCACATGGACACATGTAACCATCAGGGCCAGATTAACTTTTTGGGGGCCCCAGAGCTATTAGATTTTGGGGGCCCCAGGCTCCAGGATGGGGGCCAAAATGAAGGGCTCAGAGTGTGGGATAGGGCTGTACATTGAGGTAGGGGGCTGGAGACTGGGGTGTGTGCTCTGGGGTGGGTTGGGGATGAGGAGTTTGGAATTCAGGAGGGGGTTCCAAGCTGGAGCCAAGGTTGTTTAGAGTACCAAAGTGGGCTCAGGGCAGAAGGTTGGGGTGGGATGTGGGGTCTGGGTGGGAGTTAGGATGTGAGAGGAGCTTAGGGCTGGGGTGCAGAATCTGGGAGGGTTGCATTAAGTGTACCTCCCAAACCCAGAGCCCTGGGCTGTACCCCCAAAGCCTTTTTTCTTAATCCATCCCTAGGAGCAATATCATCAGTTGGTGTACATCAGCAGCTGAGAATCTAGCCCAAATAGTCTAAACTGGTGTGTGCTTTAACATCAGAGGGCAGAATACACTTAGATTACAAGTGTATTTCCGGTAGTATAAGGTCCAGCCCAGTCCTGTGAGATGCTGGAAGCCACATGCACTCAAATATCACTAATTTAAGATTAAGCTTGAATGGAAATTAAGGTGCCCGGCACCTGTCAGCATCAGGGGTCTAATTAGGAAACTTTTGATGGTTAAACTGTCTCCAGGAATTTAGCCCATTGTTTAGCAAGATGTAACTCTCACACTCAAACCTGCATAGCTCTGCCTGGCTTGTAGTTCATGTTTTAAGGCCTGGCTCTTTAAAAAAAAAAAAGTTGACTGACATCATAAGGGGTGAGAATGAACTTCCCCTCACCCCTCCACACACAATGCTAGTCCAAGGGATAAGGAAATGCCATACAGGTGTCACCATGTTTGTAGGGTACAAGCACACACAGCATGAGAGTGAGTAACTGTACCACTATGCATACAAATAAGATCCTTGCAAGGAGCTAGCATGGAGCTCTAGTATCACACACATTTTGCCACAGATGAGCTCTGTTGAAGAAGCAAAATTAATCCTTGCCCTTGTGGTAGCAGAGGTGTGTGATAGAATCAACAGTTTCTGAAGTGGGGATTTAAATATGCACTTTTCTACACATCTCTACTACTGCCTCCCATGCCTCCCCATTTCTCAGTTGCTGCAGCTGGCCTGCATTGAACCACGCTTTGCTAGCTTTGAGAAGATGATGGAGACACGTTCCCGGTAGAATGGTATCCGGCAAGAACAGACACAGTCCATTGGTAAGGACAAGCTAGAATTCTCTACATGTGTGATAGCTGGAAATACCTCCTCTGTGTTACAGGCAACTACTGAAATAGAACCTGCCCCTTTAACAATTGTGTGGCAGCAGTTGGAATTTGCTTAACATCAAGGATGGACCTTTTGGGAGCAGTTAGTCAGCACAGAACTCTATAGCACCTTCAATTAACTGAGAAACCTTCTCTTACTATGCTAATGCTGAGTGTTAGGGTATATCTACACAACACAGCTTTTAGCAACAAGACTGTGTCTAAACATCCCAGTCGCCAAAAGTTAGTGTGTGAAAATGCTGCTTGTCGCTGACAAAATACTTCCACACTCTGAGGGAGTTTCACTTTGTCAAAGCATCATTCACATTATCACTTGCCAAGGGAAAACTCTGCCATTTGGAGCACCCTGCCTCTGTTCTAAAATCTGATTTGTCAGTGTTATATGTGTTCACTTTTTTAAATTTTATCTCTTTAGTATATATGGTCATGTCAATTTTTTTCCAGTATTTGATCTGAGGAAGTGGGTCTGGCCCATGAAAGCCCATCACCTAATAACCCATCTTGTTATTCTTTAAAGTGCTGCATAGTCCTGTCTTTTGTTTAAGCACCTGTGAATGACAACATTTGTGCGGATCAAGTGCAAGTGTAGACATAGCCTTATTATAGTAATTTAGGGCAACATGCCTACACAGAGTGGAACCCTTGATAAGAATTCCCTATGGGACATTTCTCTGTGTCCTAGCATTTAGGAAAATGGCAGCAATTCCATCACTCATTCACTTCTGCTTCCTTCAACAGAGGCTGGATCACCAAATATGGAGTCTGCCACATTGTTTTAGTTAGGAGGAGAAGTTGATGATGTGAGGAACCTTTGATGCATCTTGTTTATTTACAAGGAGGATACAAATTCCTGGTTCTTGGAACACAGGAGTAATCACACAATAGTTTCCTTGCTCACAGCATTGATCTTCTTTTAGCTGGCATCAGACCCAAAACCCCTCTTTCTAGGCTTCTCTCAGGGCCACAAACCATGTTTGTCCATGGTGTGTGTGGAGCTTTATTCTTTGTCTGTATGTGTGATTTTCTACTTCTCTCCCACCCACCCCCTACACACCCTCAAACCAATACCAGCAAAGCTCTCTGCCCACATAGTACAAAAAGCAGTTAGTGAGCCTTTGTTTTAAGCAGTGCCATGTGCCTGTGCTTTGATTGGTCAACCACTACTCTTTTATAAGGAAATAACAGTTTCTAAGTTCTTAAATGAAGGGCAGCAGACACGCTCACCAGCATGCATCATAAGTTTTTATCCAAACTATAACTATATTTTAAATAGACAATAAGGTTGGTGTATCCACCCACAACTCACACCAAAAGAACTACACTGCTTCTGTTTTGTTATTTCTGTGCGAGTCTATGTGTAAATATCCTTATTTCAGAATAGAAGTGTGCTACAGCTTCTCTCCGACTTACGAACTGGTTACGGACCAAGCAATTGGTCGTAACTCGGTTTGTTCGTAAGTTGGACCCCATAGAGTTACACGCGACCGCGCTGTTCGTAAGCGTGGATCGCCTTCGTAAGTCGGGGTCCACCATTTATGACAGCTTCAGTCGTAATTGTGAACGGTCGTAAGTCAACCGTTCGCAACTCGGGGACTGGCTGTATTTAAAATGAAACAATATGGTACCTGTGCATAGCCTGGCACTGAAAAAAACAAAACAAAAAATGATAAATCAGAACCAATTGAGTTATTTTAGTACAGGTCTGTGGCTAGATCAGCCCTCAATCAGGTGTTCTCAAGTAAGGAATCATGATTCGATGCTGTTACCTCAGTCCTGCATGTCAGATTCTTCTCACTGTTCAGGGCCGTACAGACTCAAATGTGGCTCAGAGAGAGTGCTAGAATTAGCAAGGTCAAGGCATTTTCAGGACTGGACCTAAGTTACTTAGATAAAAGATTTAGGCTTTCTTACAATGTAAGCTTTTGAGGAAGGGACCATTTCTGTTTCCACCATGCCCATAGACAACACAATAGAGTCCTGGTCCATGACTGGGATTGTTAGCACTACTGTGATAACAATACACTGATACTTCTCAAAATATGACAAATTAAAATGTGAGTGTTCTGTTTTTAGAGAGGCTGACTGTCAGGACTGATCCCCACTCTGGCTCCTGCCAATGAGTGCCTATGATATAGTTCAGATCTCAGACACCTCTTTTTGAAAGTGAAACAAGATGCCTGTGCAGCACCACCAAAGCCTGTTAAGGCAAGGTTTTCAGCAATATTGTTGCTGATTAGAAATCAGTTTTCAAATATTAAGGGCTATTTGGCTTCAGTTTCCTAGAAAGTGAATTTAGCCAATCCAAAGAGATCCACCAAGAACACACACACAACCAAAATACATTGAAGTGCAGTCATAGTCAGAAAAGTGCCTGTATTAAAATATCAGTATAAAACATATCAACTGACCATGCACCTTCAGGTTGTACCTGTCTAGTGTACAGATGCAAGAAAGTTTTCACTACTGTGAGCCTCACAGAGCTAACCCAGTTATGGTAGCATGAGCTAGATTCTATTTGTCTCATACATCCCAAGCATGCCCCTGTGGCCTGAAGTAGCTCTGTACCCACTGCCTTGGTTTCCCCTATGCTCAGGCTTCTCAGTAACTCACAAAGGCCAAGCAAAATACCTCTTCACTGGGTCTGGTTTGTTTACATAAAATAAACTCAAAATCTCTTCCACCTCCTGTTCTGTCTCACACGGGGCACTGCCTGCCCCACCCACACAAAGTCTGTCCATCTTTGAATTTCTAAGCTGGCACTTTTTGACCCATCCCAGTCTCTGCTCAGTTTTTCCCCTCAGTCTATTCTGGGGTCCTTCAAATACTCCTTGCTCTTTTGTGAGCATCTGTTCTTTCCAGTCTTCCTGCCTGGGCTCTTCTCTCCCGGCCCTTCCTAGCTTGAGTGTGGTTTTTTTCAGGCCCAAATATTTCTTCCTAGTTAAGGGTCTTCCTGCAGGATTTCACTGCTGCTGTGCTTTAGCCTCTGACCCAACTTCCCTTCGGGGTCTTTAGAGAGACCAGTTACGCTTTATCCACAAGGACAAGGGCCAATTCAGGACCTTTGCTATTGGTGGTTAATGTACCCAATC